CGCCGTGCTGGTGGGCTTGGCCGTGTCGGTGGAGCTGCCGACGACGCCGACGCAGACGTTGACACCGGCCCACATGCCGGAGCAATCGCTCTTGACCGAAGGGTTCCACTTGACAAAGTCGGCGAGCGAGATCTTCTGGAAGCTGATGACTTGGCTGCAGCTGACGCCCTCGGCAATCCAGTGGAACTTGTTGCAGTTGGTCACCATGCCGGACTGGGTGGGCTGGGGCGTGGCGATGCCGTTGGCAAACGTCGTCGTCGTCGCGGTCGGCTGCGTCGTCGTCGTGGCAGCGCGAGTGGTCGTGGTGACCTCGATGGGCTCGGGCTCACCGAAGGCCTCAACGCAGTACGAGTTGCCTGCCTTGATGCCGGAGCAGTCTGCGCCAACGGTGGGATTCTGTTTCTTTGCGTCAGTAATTGTATACACAGGATAGTGGGAAATCTACACGTACCCATCGCGCAAAGTCCTTCAGGACAACGACGTTGTCCTCGAGGACACGCGAGCAGGACTTGTCACCCTCGTAGTCCACCCAGTACGAACAGTAGGAACTAGTGCCGGCAGCGGGAGGGTACTTGGGCTCCGGGCCCCTGCGGGCCGAGACGGATGCGACCGCGGCGGCGGCCAGCAAAAGGCTGCACTTGATGAAAGACATCGTGAAGAAGAGGATCAACCCAGACTGGGGGAAGTCGATGATACGGAGGTGCTGTAGCGACTGACGTTTTTGACAGGTGAGAATGAGCCTGAAGGAGGGAGATCATGACGAGGAAGAAAGCCACGAGGGTTCAACCAGTCTAATTATACACCGGTCACTTGAGATCATTCGAGGAAGAATTGTCGTCTCGTGGTGATGTTCTGGATTCACTCAGACGAGAAACGGAAATGGGGTTCATGGTTCAGACTCCTTCTCGGCACGGAGCCGACAGGGGGTTCATACGATTCCCTGCTCCGCAACGGTCCCGCCGACACCCCAAGTGCACAGCCGGGTCTAGGCAGCAGAGATGCACCGTTGCATTGCAAGAGGACCCCTAGATCAATGATCCTGCGTCCGGCGAGCATTCAACCGGAAGGATTACCTTCATATCTGCTAGCACAACATCCGGTTGAAGGATTCAGGACAGACAGAGGGAGGAGAAAAGCCTCAAAATTTGGGCCTGGGTTCGGAACCGTGCTTAATTGTACCTGTTCAAGCCTTGATGTGTCTATTATAAGGTCCGTGACTAAGGCCAAATCAGAAGGTGCACCGAGCTCGAAATTGCTCGCTTTCAGTTTAGCCGATCGACAAGGTTTCTTCTCTGCTTGTCTGATATCGAGAGAACCACAACTGGGAGCTTTCGGTCGGTCCCGTCTGGCATGTGACCATGCACTAAGTCCATGACGGGGTTTCTCTATGGAGCAATGCTCATGCCATAATGCTTGAACACACGTTTAGTATGTCATGAAATGATTGAGGTCCCAATTTGCCACCTTGAAGGATTCTGCGAATTTAGATGAAGCCCCTCCGAGACAGTTGGCTCTTGGGGGAGGTGGTGGAGGGCAGTGAGTTGAACCACGATGCGGAATCAAATGGGCTTCACGCACTTGAGACCTGCTGTATCCTTTACAGAAGAGTGAGTCGGATGGAGAGACAGTTCATGTTGGGTTCATTCAGAGGTCATACGTTTACGCCATCGAAATGCGACAGAGAGACCGCCTGAGTTTTGGGGCTCTTTACAACGATGAACGACGAACAAGATATGAAATGAAGAGGCCAACGCATATGCTACTTGATAGGGTAATCGCCAGAACAGCCCAATCAAGTCGCAACCAAGGCTGTCATGACATACATCCAAAGTAGACAAGGCAGCAACAACCACCGCTCATCTAGAACAGTATTATGACGTCCAGTAGTTGGCCTCGGGCGCTCCTGATACCCTTCTCGAGGGTGTCAGGGCCCATGGAGATCATGAAGCTGGCTGGGTGTCGGCTACCATTGGACCGAAGAGGGTCAAGGGGAAAGGAACAATCGAGGCGGTGAATTTTCTGTAAGGGGATTGAGCGGGCTATATGCTACGGAAGAGTTTCGACTATGAAACCTGTCTAGAGGCACCCCTGAGGTTAATAGGCATTCTCGCTGCTCATCGCGCGGCTTCTACGACTCTGGCTCTGTCTACGGATCGGCGGGCTTCTTGTAGCCACAACCAGAAGCAGCGCCCGTAGCACTGCCCAGCTGTCTCTCGTGGTTGATCTTGAGCACCCAAACCTGCTTTCGCACGTTCTCGTGCTTGACGTTCTGCTCATCGCCAAAGATCCACAACGTTCTGCCGTTCTCGTCCACGCCTTTGGTGCCAAATTCCTTCGCCATATCCTTCATTCGCACCTGAAGAGCCTCTCGGAATTGCTTCTTGGCATTCTTCTTGATAGCGTCCGAAGTTGCGGCCGAGTCAAACGCCGTGTATTTGTACGGCACCATTTGGTTTGCATTATTGGGATCAGGCATCTGGTTGAAGTAGACCGTCTCGCCGCCGCCCTTTCTGATATTCTCAGCGGGTGTGGTACTTTTGGTCTTGATCCAATTTCTCGAGAACGAAGACCCCATGCCCTGTTGCTGGGCAGTGGCTATGAGGTCGGTGCCGATGTTCTTCTGCTTGAAAGGCTCTATTTCAATGGTGCGGCCCACGTGCGACTCACGCAGGCAAGGTGTCATGTTGTTGAAGTAGCCGGCACCGCGGGCCGGATCGAGTTCGTAAAGCTGGGCAGCGCGCTTGCCGAGGATCTTCAGCACGTTGTCGAAATAGAAGTAGGGGTTCTTGCCGTTGAGGCCTTCGCCCTTGCTTGAGGCTCCCAGAATCTTGTGAAGGTCGAAGTCACTGAAGGTGTATCTTGCGGGCGTGGGGGCGTCGCTGTCGGCCGGCATGAGCTGGCCACTATCGGGCGGGAAACGAGGCAGGTTCTTGACCTCCAGAAGCGTCGGCATCCAGTCGTCGGCGATTCGACTCTGATGGTTGTTGCGCGGGTAGTTGGAGCCCGTCCCCTGGGCCATGCGTATGAAGGCATGGAAGTTGAGGCCGTAGTGGTTGCCGCGCCCGTTGGGATAATCCCTGGGCTCCGTGCTGTCGCCGAGGTAGCGGCCAAGCTTCCAAGGCACATCTCGCGTGTCGCCTGGCCCCGACCAAGATCCGTCGGCGAGCGCTCTGGCGGCGCTGATCTCGACGTCCATGCGGTAGACGTTGTAAATGTAGAGGGCCTCGGCACCGCGGACGCTCATTCCTGCGTGAACCATTCTGACCGTGGCACCGAGGATGGCCACGATCAGAGACGGTGCATTGAACCTCATGGTGAAGAGAAGTAAGAAAGAAGCAAGAAATGAGAGGAATCACCCAAGCGAGGGGTTGATAGAATGAGACAAGCAGGCCGCCAAAGGTCAGTCGGTCCTTCGAGACAGGAACTTGACGTGCAAAAGCATCTACATCATGGCACAGAATGGAGGCGGCGTTGATGGCGGCAAACATATTTATCACCCTTGAAGGCCACCGAACGTCCACGCGAAGGCCCACGCGGACCGGACGCCTATTCTCCCGGGTCGAGGCCTCATCCAGGCCTTGCCTTGACAATTTCTCCAATCCTTCGAGGGTTCAAGCACAAAAGAAAAAGGACGTCAGCCCCTTTCGCATTTCGCAGTATTATTCCGAGAGCCAGATGTAGGATGCGGTCCTATGGACAGCCGAAAGTAGGGCAAGGGGGAGGGCGAGCGATAGAACAGGGGGTTCAAAGGCTGTAAGCGATCTCAAAACTTACAGATTGGGGGATCCGGACCCTGACCCTTGTAACTTTCATTGATGGCCCCCGGCTGTAAGAATAAGGTGACACTAGCACAGCTGACCATGTGTGCCGCTGATGAGTTCTGGTTGTAAATTTGTCTTCTCTGCAAGGCCGTACCTTGCCTTGAAGAATCCGATGCCAGAATCTCCAATTCTCGATCCCCAGAACCCCATATCATTCAGGGGTCGACTGGAGGGAGCCCGAGATTACGATTTAACCTTGCACGCCTGGGTAGCCAACTGCCTATTCGGGATTTGGTTGCTGGGAATGACTACCGCATTCATCACGGCTCAGAGAGAAGAACCCCTTGTCCGGCCCATGTCGCATTCGAAGGAGTTAGTGCACAACCACGTAGAGTCTGTCTCCCGGCGGGGCTCGAACGGTCGTCCATGTAAGCTTTTGCCTAGCAGTCTATTTCTGGAAGGATTTCTGGAGGGATGAGTAAAGATTACCTGGGGATGACCTGAGTAGCCTTCGGCCGCGATGCAACCTCACAACGTTTTGGCTGTGGTACCTGCGCCTATCCCGCGGCAGGGGGGATCGTGCCGAAGGATTCGCCTCCTTGTGGTCTGGACCTTTGCGGTGATTATTTCTTTGGCCCAAACAGCCAGAGGAGACACGACGAGAGTGAGGGAGAACGTTCGCAAAACTCGAGCAAACTCGTATTGTGTCGTCCATTGGCTGACGAGACATGGAATTCGCTCAGAGGCACATGCTTTGCCGAGAAAGGGAGTTGAGCCGATCTCTTGACTTTGCACCCCCTCTATCTGAGCCAGACTGAATCCTTCCGTCAATGCAGCGCCGGCCAGGATTCATTCGCAATTACAGGAGACACAGTGATGGTCCAGGCTATTCGGTCTCTCGGCTGGAGTTTTGCCGTCAGTGAATGGATCAATCGCTCTCAGAGGAGGGAGGCGAGGGGTCGGAACAAAACATGGGCAGCCATTGTCAATCGCTTTTCGAGTTGTAGGAACTTGGTATCAATTCGTATAAGTTATCGTAGTTCAGATTTCTCTTCTCCTTCTGAGGACCGAGTGACAGGCCTCTTCATACTGTCTCTCCCGACCGGTAGTTGCCTCTCTATTGGCTTGCTTCTCACCTCCCTTGATCTCACTGGCACATCATTGCCTGGCCCTATACTTTTTGCCAGCCTTGGCCATCACGTTCTTTTTTTTTTCTTTTTTTCCTCTTTGATTCAAGACATGAGGTGTCACAATACCGTCACCTCCATCGGGGGCTGGTTGGGCTTCTTCGCCGCCACCACATCGGCCATTGAGACCGGCTTTGATTCGGAAACCTTCCCTCATCCCGCCCTCGTTCCCAAGCCCACATTTCGCGACCTCTGTCCCGTTCCTTGTGCAGATGCCGGCCCAACGGGTTTCTCCTGGACCGTCGTGCCCTCCATCGCGGCTCTCAAGCAGTGTAACGAGACGCTGCTCTTTGAGGGCAACCTGAACCGACCCATCACCAGCACTGCCAAGGAGAACACAATTCGCGCCTGCAGCATCCCCGAGTCATCCTCCAACACGGCCCTTACCAGCGAACAAAAGTTCGGCCCGCCGTGCCTGGCGTCGGCGGAGCTAAGGCCCACCAAGGTTGACGTCGAGGTCGGCTGGTGGCCGGAGACGGTCGACGGCAGCAAGTCATCCGATATCATCGACGCCACGCTCCAGCTGCAGAAGAATATTATTGAAGACCCCAACTGCGAGTCGACGGCTCTGTTCGCCAAGTCGGGCGATGCTGTTGTCGGGCTGTGGGTCGGCGAGCAGATCCGCAAGACTTCGGCCAAGGACCTTCTCGAGCGTTTCGTCGCCTTGGTCGAGTCCAAGGAGGGCTCGTTGCCTAAGAAGGCAGCTGCCCAGGTCTGCGGCTCGAGTGACGGCCTGCCTTGGAGCCAGAGCTTTGGCATCTACTACGACGCAACCGGCAAGATCAGCGATGCTTTCAGCGCCGTGCAGGGCTGGTCCAAGATGAGTTGTCTCGATCTTCCAGGCGGCGGCGAAACCTGGAAGGGAGAGGAGCTCAGCGTCATCCCAGGTCTCGCGCTGACTCTGGGTGCCGATGCCGTTCTGCCCAAGCACAAAAATTCGTCAGTCTCTGTCACGGCTTCGAGTGTCACGAAACCCACGTACAGCGTCACCTCGCTGGCTCTGGGCCCTTCGACCTCTGTCGAGGCTCGGGCTTACGACCCTTATGATGACCTCAACGATGGCCTCGAGGACCGCGACGAGCAGTGCCGGACCGCCAGGATCGAAGCCACCGACAGCTGCTACAGCCTCGCAACGCAGAAGTGCGGCATCACACTCGAGGCTCTCTACAAGTACAACGGCGGGGACTCCTCCTTCTGCACCAACCTCGAGGTCGACACCTCGCTCTGCTGCTCGGGCGGTGATAAACCCGAGGAAGAGGCCCCCTCCGCATCTTCCGAAGTGCGCAGAGCGGCTGCTGAATGCAAGTATCTGGTCGTGGCCAAGGACAACACGTGCCCTCAGCTGGCGGCTGATTGCGGCATCTCGACAACCAAGTTCTACGAGCTCAACGGAGGCGGCAGCAGCGCCTTCTGCAACAACCTCAAGATCAGGTCGGCTGTCTGCTGCACTGCCGGCGACAAGCCGAACCTCAAACCCAAGGACAATAGTGACGGGTCCTGCGCCGTGTACACGATCAAGAAGGGCGACGGATGCTTCGATATCGCTGATCCCAACGGCCTGACGGTCACGGAGCTGCACAAGCTCAACACGGGCAAAACCTGGGGCTGGGGCGACTGTGATCTGCTCAAGGAGAACATGAAGATCTGTCTCAGCGCCGGCACGCCGCCCATGCCGGCGCCGATCGAGAACGCCATCTGCGGCCCTCAGAAGCCCGGCACCGAGAGGCCCTCGAGCGGCAACCTCACCATGCTCAACCCATGCCCGCTCAACGTCTGCTGCAACATCTGGGGTCAGTGCGGCACGACCAAGGACTTCTGCGTCGATACGACCGTCAACAACACGCCCGGCACGGCCAAGAAGGACACGTACGGTTGCATCTCCAACTGCGGCATGGACATTGTCAACAACAAGGTCGGCCCCGACAAATTCAGGCAGCTCGGCTACTTTGAGGGTTGGAACATGGACCGCCCCTGTCTCAACATGGATGTCGAGTCGATCCCCAAGGAGAATGACATTATTCATTTTGCCTTTGGCATGATCGCCGAGGACTTTTCCATCTACATAGGCCCCAAGGAGAAGGAACAGTTTGACAAGTTTGTCAAGCTGAAGTCCAGCTTCAAGAAGGTTCTTTCTTTTGGTGGCTGGGCCTTCTCGAACGAGCCGGCGACGAGCCACATCTTCCGCAATGCCGTCAAGCCGGCCAACTCGCTGAGGTTCGCCACGAATGTCATCAACTTCATCGCCGCCAACGGTCTCGACGGCGTCGATTTCGACTGGGAGTACCCTGGTGCCACCGACATCGATGGTAGCCAGCCCGGCTCGCCCGACGACGGGAAGAACTACCTCGCTTTCCTGGGCATCGTCAAGCGCCGCATGCCTCAAGGCAAGACTATTGCCATCGCTGCCCCGGCTTCCTACTGGTATCTCAAGGCGTTCCCCATTGCCGAGATCTCCAAGATTGTCGACTACATCGTGTACATGACCTACGATCTCCACGGCCAGTGGGATGTCGGCAACAAGTGGGCTTCGTGAGTCTTTCTCCTCTCTCTCTCTCTCTCTCTCTCTCTTTTCTGCCGCTTGGGTAGACGCTAACAGATCCAGTGAGGGCTGTCCGGGCGCCAACTGCCTTCGTTCGCACGTCAACATCACGCTGACGCAGAGTGCCCTGTCTATGGTGACCAAGGCCGGCGTGCCGTCCAACAAGCTCATGGTCGGTGTCAGCAGCTACGGCCGCAGCTTCAAGATGGCCCAGATGGGCTGTGAAGGCCCTAACTGCTTCTTCCTGGGCGGCCGCAACCAGTCACCCGCCAAGGCTGGTACCTGCACTGGCACCCCCGGCTACATTGCCGACGCCGAGATGATGCAGATTGCGCTCAACGCCCGGTCTGGGTTCGGCAGCTCCAAGGTGACGGCCTACCACGACGAATCGTCCGACTCTGACATTTTCATCTACGACGACGTCGAGTGGGTGTCGTGGATGAGCCCCAAGACAAAGGACAGCCGCAAGCTCATCTACCGCCTCGCCAACATGGCCGGCACCAGCGACTGGGCCATCGACCTGGGCGTCGACGTTGGCCGCTCCAACTCGGAGAAGGCCCTGGACGACTGGCCGGAGCTGGACCTCAGCAGCAACTGCCCGCTCGACTCGAGCTACGACACGCTCGACGCCCTCGATGCTGTCGCCGGGGGCATGGATCCCGAGTGCGCCGCCATGCTCGCCATTGACACGCTCAAGAAGATGCTCGCCAACTCGCTCAACGGCTACGACGCCGCCGCCAGCGGGTACGACGGCCTCTTTGACTTTTACAAGGACTACATCATCAAGTCGCTCGACGGCCGCCTCGAGCGCCTCATGACCTTTGAGAAGCAGTACGGCGGCCGCTCCGGCGACTTCTTCAACTGCTTCGCCGTCCAAGGCGGCCTGCGCGCCAAGCGTAGCGACGCCAAGCCCGCCGACTGCTTCAACCTGCCAACGGGCAAGCCCTTTGACGACTACGCCTACTGGTTCGAGCTCAAGGACGAGGCCGGCTGGCATAAGGCCCTCGCCGAGGAGGGCATCCTGACCGAGTGGGTGCAGACGGGCTACAAGGAGCACGCCAACAACAACGGCTGCACGGGGCAAGACATGTGCATCGCCAAGAACATCTACTACCACGACATTCCCATGCCCAAGGCCAACAAGGACATTGAGGTGCCGGACCCCAAGGAGATCATCCGCATCGCGCGAGAGAACATGGCCAACATCACAGACGCATTTGACGACATATACACGGCCATTGGCTTCGAGGACTGGGCCGGCGGCTACGAAAATGCCGTCGAGGTCCTGTCCGTGCCCGTCTTCATGCTCGAGGACGCCGTCGCCTCGATGAACACGGTCAAGGAGATCGGCAAGGACTGGAAGGAGGAGCAGGAGAAGAACCTCATCCTGCAGATCATTGAGGGCGTCCTCTTCCTGCTGGCTTTTGTCGGTCCCATCGTCGGCTCCCTCGGCCGTGTCGGCGCGGCTCTCGGTCGTCTCATCATGGCCATCGAGGGTGCCGGCGCCGCCGGCCTCGGCGTCTACGCCATCATTGAGGACCCCAGCAGTGCGCCCCTCGCCATCCTGCTCACCATCATGGGCGAGCTCGGCGGACCAGCCGGTCGCAGTGGCCGCTTTGCCGGGTTGAACGCCAAGAAGAACGAGATGTCGCCCAAGCAGAAGGAGAATATGGGCAAGTCGTACGCGACCAACACGCCCAAGGTTCAGTCCATCATGGGCAAGGCCTGTGGCACAAAGTAGAGCTCATGGGAAGTGGGCCAACAAAAAGACATTCCCTAGAGCGCGCACGACACAGCAAAGTGCATACGGCACAGAGTTTCCTTATTTCATGTTGCGTAGCATGGCATGTACCGGTAGATGCAGGCACATACATAGATCCCATTTTCTCCTCTGCATTGGGTCGGGAAACAAAGTGTGAAAAGCGTATAAATTGATCATATATAAATATTTTTCTGGTGCTTGATGCTCTTCAAACCGCGATCATGTGCGGTTCGTGTTGACGTTGTCCCGGGCCTCGACTTCGTCTAAAACCACCTGCGGACCACTCTGTGCGAGACGGAGGGGCAGCAGACCGCGAGAATCACGGCCCTGGCGCTCTACAGCTGTGACGGAGCAAGAAATGCCAGCCACCTCAAAGAGGCTGACGAGACTTGTGATTTCGTCCTGAGGCGGCAGCATCTCGACTACTTCGAGCCGCAGAGTCCGCAGGCAAGGGAAGCGGCGCGCCGCCTGGTCTGCCAGCGCCACGGCATCTCTGTACATGGCTGGCCAGGACGTGATGTGGCCGATCCTGAGCATCTCGAGGGACGGCGGCAGGCGAGAAAGGAAGTCCTCGGGGGTCGTCTGCCTCATCTTGCGTAGCTCCTTTTTGGTCTGTCGCGAGCCGGGGTTCTGGCTGTCTTGTGGCTCATGGGCAGTACTCGGCCACGTAGATTGCTCGACTGTGTGGTGCTGCTCCTGGTCACTGTTGCTTGCTTCTTTATCGTCGTCGCTATCAGTATCACCGCCATCACTGTCATCGTCGTCGCTGTCTGCCTCTTCAGTCGGCCCATAGATGAGCATGCGATCAATCTCGAGCGTCTGGAGAGCAGGGAAGCCAGCCCAAGAGGGGTAGTGCTCCTCGTCCAAAATCCTGAGCTCGGCGTTGATGGACGAACTGTTCTCCCTGCCGATGACAGAGTAGCACAGACGGCGCAGCGTCTTGACCACCAGTGCGAGGTCTTGTCCGGGGCACAGCACATCATCCTCGAACCCCGTGTCCTCGCAAAAGTACTCGAGGTCCTCGAGAACGGGACACCCAGCGAGGACGGCACGTAGGTGCCCGCGCTCGATGCCGCTGATGGACAACCTGCGGAGGTGCGCCAGCGACAGGTCCCACGGCACGCCGCTGTACTGCTGCTCCATCCAGTGATCCGACTCGGCCTCGCAGTCGGGCGCGACGAGGACACGCAGGTTCGGCGCTCGGGCCACGAGGTTCCGCGCCTCCTTGTAATAGTACGTCTCCTCGCCGCCAGCCCGGAGGCCTGGGAAGGCGAGGTACGTGAGGCGCGGCAGGTCATAAGACCAGGCGCGCCAGTCGCTGTGCGCGTCGGCGAGCTCGTCGAGACGCATCATGCGCTCGATGAGGAGCTGATCCAAGGACGGAGCGCAGAGCGCGACAGTCAGGTCCTGAAGCAGCTCGAGCGAGCTGTCGCCCGGGTCGGCGGCGGCGGCGTCGCCCGCTGCCAGGTATCCTCCTCCATCGCCACCGCTGTCGTCGTCGCGTAACCTCTGGCGGCTCCGCGCCGTGACGTCTGCGATCAGCTCGCTCTGCAGCTGTCGCATCTCGGTCACGCCGGCGTTGCCAGTGGGCGTCATCTGCACCAGGCCTGTCCATGGAGCCTGGTATAGTGCCAGAGCGCGCACGCTGGCAGCGAGATCCTGCCTGTCGAGGAGCGTGCGCAGGAAGAGTGCGAGGAGACGCTTCTCACGGAAATGGCAGCGTGCATTGTAGAGCTGGGCGCGGAACGTGCGACGGTCGCCGGCGATGGTGTGAGGCAGCGCGGCGTGGTAGAGGTGGAAGAGCACGGGCTGGGCGTGTGCGCGGAGGCATCTGCACGTGCGACTCAGTGCCGACAGAGTCTTTTGGTCGCCGAAGGCATTGTCAATGAGGGCGAGGGGCGCGTCGACGGCGTGAGCGCGGTTGCAGTGAAGGCAGAAGTGTGAGCAGATGAGGTCCAGCGTTTCTGATGGGATCGTGGCGAGGCTAAGGCTGAGGGTGTCTGACGACGACATGCTGGGCCGATCGGAGAGCTGCTGCCTGGGTTGGGGAAACAGATGGCGAAAGCTGTCTGTGCGAGGACATGGTGTCTGGTTCTTTGCCGCTACATATATCGTGTTTTCTCGTCGATTGAGAGAGGCAAATCGTGAGGAGGAAGGAATTGAACCCCCTGCTGTTCTGGGCCGGCTGCGCGAAGGATCCCTGGGCCTGGAGCCATCTACTCCACCCGGAAGAATCGCCTTTTATGGATGTCTACCAAGTACTGCCATGATGATCGGCCGCGGGCTCGATGTCACTTGCCTTTGAGGATTTCTTCCATGGCGGGGTAAGCGATTGTTGGGCGGGTGAATGGCGGCCGCGAAGAAGAAGGCTTCAGACCCGATAAGGGAGTGGTTGGTCGAGCTGCGAAAGGGCTTGAAGCTCAACATTGTCATCTTGTTGTGCCTCTTCAAGTACCAGAAGTCGAGGTTTAGTTTTCAAGCAAGGTAGTCCATTATGTTGACAGATCTACATCAAACAAGGGCATAATCTTGCCTAGACTCCAAACCGCGAGCTTATAGTCGAAACGCACAACCAGACGGACTTGAAATAGCACAGTTTGATAAAATGCTGCCAAACGATATCATTCAAGTGTAACTACTTCGATTGTTACTGGGCCGTGCTTGTTTCCCGTCAAGTAATACGCGTGAGCCGGCACTTTGGACACATCTAGAGAATCGCCGTCGCGTCTGGTCATCCCAAATCCCATACAAAATAAGCAACTCGATTCCGAGAACGTCACCGCGAGCGTCGAATTAAGCGTGATTAGTGCAGGAACAGTGATGGTCACACAATCATTCCAACACTAGGAAGGCGGTGAAATTGCAAATGAGATGGGCTGGAGGACGGACGTACGAGCCTTGAGAGCCACATCATCTCGCCACTGGATCCCACTGGATGAAAGCTCTTTCCAGTTGAAGGATATTCCTCAGCTGAGCTAGGTACATGTGCCATTTTTCTGAAAAACAGATGACCACCTCCAAGTCTACCTTGGGCTTGAGCCTTTGGTCCTCGTCTGATTAATGCTGGCGAAGGGCGGTCACTGATCCAACCATGTTCTTGAGAGGTCAGCCAATGAAGCTTTGTATTGGATCTTAGGTAGCTTAGATTAGACAGCATCGCAGTGATGCAAACACTTTGTTTATACTTGGAAACATACTTGTCATCATGAACAACGTGAGAAACTGAACGCTGCCGATTTGACATTAATACCCAGACGATGACAGAGAGCTATTTCTAAAATCGAGTGTGCGACATGAATCAAATTGCATGAACATGCATCGCAGGAATACGTACACAGTCTGTTCCAAGATCGTAATTTCATGTTGATTGTCCATATGTCGAACACGCCACTCGAATATCGATGTCGGTAAAGCTCCTGCTTCAAGCTACCACAACTAAAACAGAGCAGAGTAGCAGTATAGCTTGATACAACTCAAGATATCTCCTCAACCATTTGACATAGTGCGCATTCGGAAGACGACTTCTTAGCACTGCATCCGCTAGAAAGGCTGTTTCAGCAGTAAACTACGAATTCTGGTGGACTGGATGAATATTGGGAAATCCAAGTCTTTCAAGTCCGTCCGGAATCGCCATAAACGACCACCGCTATCATGCAGCTGTGTAGATTTTCTCTCTCTGTAGAAAACCCTGCTTGCGTTTGCCACCTAGATCAATATCATCCTGCCTTTGGTTTACTCTATCGAAATATCTAAAGCCCTGAATCTCAGTAATCCACTGCCAGCCCCTCAGACAATGCGAGACTGACCTGTGACTCCAGTCAAGCACCATCCCTTTTGAGGGACATTCCCAAGGATTTAATCTATCAGGTTACCAGTGGCGAATTGGTGCGGTGCCTTCACAGTTCACTCCAAGGCGAGAGGAATAGCTGTGGCGCCGAATAGCGACAAGATGACCACGGCGGACAAAAGTTTCCCAATTTCAGCAGCCGCACCATTCCTCTAAAGCCGAGGGAATGAAATTGTTATAACATCCCCAGAGCACGATAAAGGTTCACCCATCATCGGCAATGTGCACCTGGAAATGGAAGCAGATAATCAAGCCTTCTGGGCCATATCCTCAATGATCTTAAGATATCTCACATGTCAGCCGTCTCGACACAGAGATACAACAACACAGTGTATTTCGATAACAGAAATACAAGACTGGCCATGACAAATAACTGTGCACTCCTTCCGTACCAAATACTCATAACACCCCCCTTACCCACGTCCCAATCTCGAAACAAGAGATTGGGAAAGACGGCGGATGTTTCACGGCATAGGGCCCCAGCCCTTCCATCCCGACTTGCACGTACTTCAATGGCGAAATCTCACCAGACAACAGGACAGACGTCGACGTCTGATCAGCTCAAAGGGTAAGGGTGCTGCTGGCTGGTCCGGGACGGTCGAAGCCGACACTCAGCACTCGGAGCCGATGCTGGGCAAAGCAGGGTCAAAGCACCCGCGACACGCAAAATGGTCGATCACTCCATGACAAGAGGATGACGACTTCTATCCTTTCTTGGGGCTTCCAGCATGCTGGGTCTTCAGACCAATGACACGTGCTCATATGATGGCCGAGGTTGGGAGCTTTTCGTCCCGTGAGTCTTGTTGGGCGTTACATCGCGATCAGCACACGATTGACTCAGATCTGTTGCTTTCGAACTGGCGATCCTACGGTACTTGGAGCCCAGTCGATAACAAGAGGCCCTGTGTGATCACTTCGGCAGTCAGCATTTTCCGGGTGCTCCTGATCGTCGGTCATCTCCGCTCACGGGCGCATTCGCCCGGCAAAGTTTACCACGCTCTTCTACCTTGGTGGTTACGTCGAGCGACGAGCAAACGCACCGGCGCTGCTGCACAGGCTCGATAGTATGCGCCAGACACGCTCTCGCATCAGTGCCGTCGCCGTGCCACAAACCTCAGCTTTGCACACTGCACCGTCGCAGCTGACCATGCTGCGCCTCGGGAGACTTAGCCATCAAGTGCAGTTCCCATCGCTCTCGCCGTGAGACATGGTCCATCGAGCTTGTCGATCGCCATACCAGATCAGGAACCCACTAAACCCGGCGCGGAGGTTCCGCCTCGCCGCCAGGCCGGGCTCAACGGAAAGTCCCTCTGCTGTCATACTCGAGCCTATCATCAGAGACAGGCAAACAGGGCGAGCCACTCACACGCCATTCCCAAGTTCAAGACAGATGCAATGGGATGAGCCCTGACCCGACGGAAGTTTCGCTCGCGAGCGATTGGCCAGTGCCGGAGATCCCCAGGGGACACGGGGCCTTGTCAAATCAAACACTGCATCCAAGTGCCGCCTCGCGCGGGATGGGAGAGAGAGAGACACGATATGCCCTCGTTGAGCCTCGAGTTGCCCTCCACCAGGTCTTGAGCGGCCTAATGCCCCCCCCGCGCCAATCAAGTGACATCGGCGTAATGCCGATCTTCGACAAAGCAATGTGGCTGTCGGCCGAAATGACAGGCCCCTGGCGAAGGCTTCGCGCTGACACGAATATTTGTATGAAGGATGCACCCATTAATCGACAAGTCGATCTAGTGGCTGCACTACTGCGGCATTTGGAGTGACAGACGTCTCGCCCTTCTCCAGCAACAAAGAAAGGTCAGAGCATTTCTCTCGCAACACGCCTGAGAAAGCACCCGGAACAGGGGAGGACGCCGAACAAAAGAGCGCGTTGGCGCCTGCCTCGGCTCAAACACGGGACGTTCTAGAAGCCCCAGAAAAGCTTCCAATCTGGAACACTCGGTTCGCCGTCCCAGCGGCCCTGAGAACGCAGGAGACAGGAGTGCGCACTCTTGAAACAGTCTCGTGAAAGAAGCTGATGAGGGGCTCGACCGGAACTTTGTGGACCAGGTGAGCATCGCGTGCTCGGAGGTGAGCCGCATCAAGATGCCACAACGCAGGGGATTGATTACAGAAGGCAGGCCCTTGAACATCGCCCGGGTGGTCCAGACGCGGCCGCTGCGTGCAGCGTGTTGCTGTCACAAGTATCATCGTCGCGGGAAGCAAGGGGTCCTGGGCCCCCCAGAAAATGTTTTGGTGGGGGGAAAGGAACAATCAAGGGTTGCTGGCTGACAAGTACGAGATCGACGGCCATGATTGCCGTCTTCTGATCAGCTTCTTTTTATTTTAGTTCACTTCCCGAGCTAGCCGCCCGTGGGCGGATGGCCGATAACAGCCATGGCGGTGATGAAGGTGCGTACGTCGTAGTGCAGCGCACCGCAGCGACTTGTCATGAAGATGCTATTGGGGGACGAGCTGGTAATGTGACTGATTTGCGGTCACCATCGAAAGTTGTCCCGCGGGGCACGTTGATCGGCCTTGTCGGTCAATCGTGCGATGGGCGTGATCAGTGAGGCGGTAGTGGGCGGGTTCGAAGCATGATACTGGACCAAGTGGCATTGCGTCTGCATGACAGTATTACAGTAGTCTTCTTGGCTAGCGAAGAACTCCCTGTGCAATGCCCTGGCCTCCCTCGACGGATCGGCCAAGCCCAAAAAATCAATAGGTTCTCGGCAGCCTCTGTCGGTGGGCAGGCCGCTCTGCTGACTCCCAGTGTAATGACAGAGGCGCATGATTAATGTCGGCTTTGCCCGACACGTATTAGCTGACTCGGATCATGTCTGATTGAGATCACCACAATTATCGATTGAACCAGGTGCGGGCTTAGGGTCTTGAGCGACATGGACACAAAGACTGCCTCAATCAGACCGATTGAACCAAGCTGGGGTAGCAGTAGTCATCTGGAGGAAGGGGAACGAGACAGCAGGATAAGCGGTGAACTGGCTTTCGTCCCATGCTGGTCGTCGTGACGCGGAAGGCCGGAAGCGAGTGAGCTATCGCCGGATGCAGAAGAAGGGATCGATTCTCGTCGCGAGCGCTGCGGCGCTCGGCGTGGCGCACGTCGGTTTGTACATATCCGTGACCATGGTGGCGCCGTAGACACCGCCATTGGCAC